GGCCAACGCGGCAGTCATGGCAGTTGCAGACATGCGTATGTGTACACAGAGCTGCATCGATGTACAGTACATGTATATAAGCACGTGGGCCCGTACGTACGTGCTAGTGCAGCAGTGACTGGTTCCCGCTGCGCCGCGCACTAAGGGCCAAAGAAGGCATGATGGAAATGCGGTAACCAGTCAATGCAAAAGTCGCGCGCGGTGCATGCACACTGCAGTATAGTACAGTGTTTTGCATGCAGGCTGGACGGAATAGACATCGTAAAAATGCCAAGAAAACATCGATGACAAAGACGATCTTTGCAAGCTTATATTCACAGAACTTGATCTCTCTTGTCTGTGTATGTATTTCCCTTGTTCATGAATTTATTTCGAGGAAATACTACTGGTATTTGAAGTGAAACGATGCAGCGTGTTTCACCGAAATCTCCTACCGTAAAATGAAGCTATTGCCGGCCCATTGCCGGTCAACAACACACAATGCATCATCGCACGCTCGTACCAAGCAAAGTTCAGACATTGCCAGTTTCTCATCGTGACTGGCATTGTGCACAAGGTATATTTGACCTGCATTTGCCATTATTTTTAAGATTATTGACGGCAAATATTTTCGATAACACTTAAGGCAAGTTTTGTGTAGCCATTTTTGCGTAGTACAATGGAAATAGTTCAGGCTGAAAATTTTCATAAAATTTTAATGAATCTGAAAACAAACATTCAGTTGCTTTATCATTTCTATGTGCCGTTTATTAACTCCATTTTCCAAGTATAATTAAGTGATGAACCAACTGACAAGTGTATTAAAAAATGAAAGCGTAAGCAGAAGTGAAACCTTTTATTAATCTCCATTTAGACCTGTTGTCTAGTGGTTTTTTTCATGAAATTCGAGCCCGGAGCAAGTTTAAACTTGCGCGCGCAAGTTTAAACTTGCGCGGGCATTCATTTCCTTGCTACAAATTGCGCACGCAAGTTTAAACTTGCGCACTGCATAGATTTTCCCGGCCACGCATAACAGAGCCGCTAAACTATTTTGCCCCTGGGTATACTCATGCAGATATGTAACATTATTTTTAAAGCAGATTTTTTCTCCGATTTAATAGCATCACTGAGCTTCGGGAGACAATGCCTTAATGCCTTTTTTTGAAACATTTGATTAAATTCATTAATTAAATCATTTGCAAATTTATTTACTTTTTAAAATAATTACCATTTTATATGCATAGCGTTTTTAAGTTGTAAACATTTTTTAATATGAATTATTGAGCCTGCAATAAAAATATTTGTTAAAGTAATACATTTAATTAATTAATTAAATTAGTAATGCATTCATTAATTTTTTTTCAAATTATGCATTTTTGAAGTGTACACAGCGCTCGAAATGTTATGCAAGTATTTCTAAAAACAATATGAATTATTGTACCGTACAATTTATTAATTGTTAAATTAATTAGTATCTTTTAAGAGTAAGTACTTTTTTAATTGTAGAATACATAAGCATTTAAAAATAATGTAAATGATTAGTATAATGTCAAAACTTGAACAATTGAAGGGATCATAATCATTCTTTTTACGTTAACAGCTGGTTACACCTAGGAAATTATGATTTATTTACATTCAAGAATATAAATAAAATGCTAATTAGGTTTACAAAGCAAAAAACTTGAAGCTGGTCTCCATTTTTGAACAACTTCAGTACACTTTCCAAGCAATCGCCACTAGTGTGCTTAAGTTGATTGCTTGCCAGGTCCCCTCCCTGGCCCCGCCCCCACGTACCCTTAAACAACTTCTCTGATAAGCACTGCTAAATCTCAATGTTTCATTTCTTTGACGCTAATTGAATTCCCCTTTTTATTTATTTCTTTATTCATTCATTTATTCCATTATTTCTCCATGTACTCGTGTTTTGAAAAAAAAATTCGTCATCAATGAAAATCCCGCCCGCAAAAGAAGGTTGTGATCGCCTTTGCGCAAGTTAAAACTTGCGCACGCAAATTAAAATGGCGCGGTGTAATTTGCGTGCTTCAGGAGTCCCTCTCGCAAGTTTAAACTTGCGCGCGCAAGTTTAAACTTGCGTTGGGGACTCAAATTGCGCTCGACATCGCCAATCATCCTTTGTTCTCCCCTGGCATCAGTGTGCTACACCAAGCTTCTATGTATACCCGCAAGATGGCGGACCTCTGAAGTGAAAATCATCACTTCAAAACGCAGTAAGTTTGGTAGAGCCCCAGTTGCTTACTATCCCAACTCCACATCAACATTTAATCTCCCTCTGACTGTCTCTGGAGACATTGAACCCAACCCAGGTCCAATCAAGGATCCCTGTGGTGGATGCAACCGTCCTGTAAAATGCAATCAAAGATCCCTCCTCTGTGAAGACTGCAACAAATACTGGCACCAGAAATGTCTCCCCGATGTGTCCATTGCCCAGTACTCGACACTCGTATCAAGCACAATTGACTGGTTCTGCCCGGGCTGCACCCCACTATTGCCCTTCATGTCATGTAGTGATACATCATTCCAGGACATCTACAGTGGCCCAACGGACCATGACGCATCACTGGGAATTACCCCTAATCTCGACCCACATGTACCTCCCAAGAATACTCACAGTAACTCAGTCTCCGGTATTCTCATCAATGCTCGCAGCCTCCGCAGCAAACAGCAGGATATACAATCATATTTGGAACTCAACCCCTTAGATATTGTCTGTATCACTGAAACATGGATGTCAGCTGATGACACCGATTTCCTTTCTTGCTTGACGGGATACTCATCTATTCGACGGGATCGTGACGGTCGGGGTGGTGGTATCATGGCACTCGTCAATGACATGCTACTCCCTTTGCAGCTCAAGCACCTTGACAATAAAGACATCGAACTGGTCTGGTTTTCCATCACTGTCAAGTGCTCCAAATGGATTGTAGGGGTTGTTTACCGACCTCCTAACTCTGGCCCAACATTCTTGCAATCTTTACAAGATGCTTGTGATGCAGTCCAGTTGGATCTTCCCCAGTATGAAGGCATTATCCTGCTAGGTGACTTCAATATCAACTGGCAAGTTGATACTACTTCCACTGCTAATCTGCGGGATGTCACTGACTCCATTGGCCTCACTCAGGTAGTGGAAGATGTGACCCGACCCTCAAGCAACTCCACCTCTACAGGAACTACTATTGATCTCATCTTCACCAATCGACCCGAGAAGTTTTCTGCGGTGGAGTCCGCTGCAAACCCAGTCTGTAGTGATCATCACGCAGTGTCCTTCTTATTTAGTGCCATCAAAGCTCCTCCACAACCTGCAGTTATCCGCTCGTTTCTGCAGTACAGAAAAGGTGACATGGCGCACCTGGAGACTCTCCTACATCTGGCTCCATGGTCAGCTTTTATGGATGATGACAATCCCGATGCATCATGGGAAAGCTTCATGGACATCTTCGAAGCAGCAATCCATGACAGCATACCCCGTAAGCAGTGTCGTCGTAGTAAAATCTCACCTTGGATATCACAAGATCTTAACAAACTTATTCACCTAAAGCATAAGCTATTCAATAAAGCGAAATACTCCAAATCCAGTTCCGCATGGCTCGATTACAAGAACGCCCGGAATCAGGTGAAGAATTCGACTAAATTAGCCTACACTAACTATGTTGATGGTCTATTTGCAACTGCGGACAACAAGCGAAGTTTCTGGTGCTTTGTGAGAGACCAAAGAAAATCCAAGTGTCCTCCAGCCTTCCGTCAAGCCGACAAGGTTAAGATTAGGTTCCCCAATTAAAAAAGTGGGTCCCAAAAATTATGGCGTGGGGTTTTTGGCAATAAGTTAATGGACCCGTAATGTTTTACTTGGTATACTTACTTGGGGTATACTTGGTTCAATGGTTGATTAGTCCTCTTCGCCAATGGGCAGGACTCTCAGTTGATTCTTGAAAATAGCCACAGTTGGTGCAGAAATTAGTGATTCTGGCAATTCGTTCCAGTGTCTCACCACTCTATTAGCATGATTAGAGAAGAAGTGGCCTGCTACCTTGGTTCTTGTATGCCTGACAAATAACTTTTTGGAGTGTCCTCTTATTAAATCTTTGTGGGGGAGGGTGAAAAAATTTTCCGCTGGAGATTTGTATAAGCCGTTTATAAACTTATATGTTTCAACCAAGTCTGTTTTCAGCCTCCTCTCCTGCCACGACTCCATGTCAATATCATGTTTGCACAAGCGTAGGCACCTCTTCTGCACCTTTTCTATCAAGTTAATATTATCTTTGGTAAGTGGGCTCCAGGCAGATGATGCATATTCGAGGGGGAGGCGGAGGTCCAATCGAAGAGACATTCCAAGAGTTGTGTAACACAGGAGCACTTCTTTTGGAACCCATGCTGCTCACATGATATGAGGCCGTTATTGACGATAAATTCCATGAGCTGGTCATAAATAATCTTCTCAAGAAGCTTCACCACCTGACTAGTAAGCGACACAGGTCTATAATTGTTTAGACTTAATCTGGAACCTTTTTGGAACAACGGCGTAATATTGGCGTCTCTCCAGTCCTGTGGAACCTCTCCAGTCAGTAAAGATTTGGTGAAGATCATGCTGAATGGAATGTCAAAATCGGGAACATTCTTCATAGCGTTTACGTGCAAGCCATCTGGACCACAAGCCTTGTTAAGATGTAGCTTCTGTAGCTTGGCTCTCACTGTGTCCTCCGAAGGAGTAACAATAATATCATACAAGTTGGCAGTAGGGAAAATTTAAGTGATCATCGTCTGGTTCAACTATCAGCACACTTGCGAAAAACTCATTTAGGATCTCTGCTTTTCACTATCTTCCGTTACTTTTCTACCCTCCTGCTCCAAGACTTCAACAGTTGAGGATGACCTGGTAAAGTGCCGAGCATAATTGTAAAATTTCTTAGGCTCAGTTTTGATCTGGCTTACAAGTGCAGATTCGTAGTCTAGCTTGGCTTTATACAGGGCCTTTCCACATCTTTCTTTGCTTGGTCAAACTGAAGATGATGTACATTGAGGTCAGATGTCCTAGCTTTCACTTTAGCGGCTCTCTTGTTACGCTTGGCCTTCTTGACAGAATTATAATTGTTCCATGGCGGCTTATGACGTTGACCAGACTTAACAGTTTTTGTCGGCACGAACTCATCAACCCACGTGTTATATTTTGCTTTCATAATAGCCCAACTGTCTTCAACATTTTTTCTTGAAAATTCCATATTCCAGTCGGTTGCTTTGACTGCCTCGGAGAAGGATTCATAGTCTCCCTTGGAGTACAAGTAGATCTTCCGCTCGGCAACTGCAATACGAGGAACAGGAGTACGTAGTTCTGCCATCACACTGTGATGATCACTTCTGCCGAGTTTCTCCTTGACAGTAACAGACTGAACAATGTCGGGATTACCTGTCAGCAGCAAATCGAGTATATTCTGTCCTCTGGTAGGCTCTTTGACTAGTTGAAAAAGCATATTTTCTTCTAGATGCATGACATAAACTTCTTTGATAAGCAGAATGGCCTTCATTAGTGTCCCAATCTATCTCCCTGAAGTTGAAGTCTCCAAGAAGGATCACATTATCAGTGTCTATGGAACTAATGGACTCATATTTTGTCCAAGTTCAGTTCGCCTCCTCTCTCAGGTCTGTAAACAACTCCACACAAGACTTCAACTTTGGGATTTGGATAAATTTTGCATCACACTACTTCCGCATCCACGTCTCCTTTGATATGCAGTATCGGGTTGAGATTTCTCTTAACTAACAGCAAAGATCCACCACGGTCTGTTAATGAGTAGATACCTTCCTCATAAAATTTCAAATCTTGATCCTTTCGAAAACAAATATAATCATCAGGACAAAATTCATTGCTACTAACCATATTGTCAAGCCACGTCTCTGTGATGGCGCAAATATCCACATTATTCTCATACAAGTAGTCCTTAAGTTCCACATATTTGTTCTTAATGCTAAAGGCATTCAAATGAACAATCTTAATAGGGTTAAACTCTTTACCCTTGTGTAAGTGCGATGTGCGATAGGTGCATGAGATGCATAGGTGCATTGCCCTCCCCTCCCCCGACGCCACTTTTTTCTTCATACATGTATATCATCCCAATGAAGGTCATTCATTGCAAGAAAATGATATTAAATAGGCTATTAGAGAAAGACATGAATCTGGGACTGAGAAACGTTTCCAATTTTGTTAGGAAATACTTAGAAAATGTTCTTGACTCTCCATAGACTTTGTACACAATCGCGCAAGTGGTGTCAAGTTGCAACATTTTTTCCAGGCCTACTGCCATTATTACTCTAGTTTTGGCCAAAGTCAAGATGCTACTGATTGATAGTGGATCATGCATATCTAACGGCGTGATGGGGAATCTGTAGTAGCCATTTAACAATTAATACATTTTCTCCCAAGGCTTTCCTAGGGAACCAATCGGCAATCACGAAATGGTTTATAGTCAATCGCACACATGCATTCGCATGATGGTTGTTAGCATACGCGCTACGTGCATTGATCAAACATCGCTAATTATGCAGTTCAGTGATACCCCTGCGCGAGCACACGACTACCGTATAAAATGGGATGCCGACGCTTAGTTCGAAGATACAGCAATAATATTGACACCCATGGACTTATTTCCAAAAAGGCCGCGCCCCCTTTGCTGCAAATTTCCATAAAGGTTTGTGTGAGTTGGTAAAAAAACAATTGTGTAGGGGTGCTCCACAACAAGGTAACCATCGCTTTATATTGATCACTGACGTCTTGGGCCACGACTACACAGGGTGGCATGGCTGGCTAGTGCGGAAAGCGCTCGCCTGCCCCTCTCACCACTGTGGCCCTGGTTCGATCCCGGCAGGGATCATGTGAGCAGAGTTGTTCGTTGATTCGCTCCTGTGCCACGAGGGTTTTTCTCCGGACTCACCTGTTTTCCTCCCTCCGAAAAAATCAACACTTTCAATCTGTGTTCCGTGGTCATATATGGGTCGTGTGGCTGGCTGCCAAAGATGCCTTTACATGCTTGCGGCTCGACCGCATTGTAGCTGCGTCCTCCTTTCAAGAAATGTTTACCCCCCAAATTAAAATGACCTTGCTACGCCACTGTTGCGGGGCATTAATGTGCTTTTCTTGTTTTGTTTGTGATCAAACTGCAGGCGCAAAATATAAAAGTGTGTGACTTGGGTGAAGGCGTCGCAGACAAGTTGGAGAAGATCCGACTCAGAAAGGAAAAGACAAATTTTGCATTGATTTGTAAGTAGTACTTTTAATATTTATGAGTAAATAGTTCTTGCAAAGTTGGGGTTAATACCCTGGCAACATTTTTCTTTACCTTTTTTACACCGCCCCTCCCCTTGTTAGAAAAAAAAAGCAAAAGCTGAAGTAAATGTCAAGGGCATTTTCAGAACATGCTTCTATTTTATCCCTTTCCCCCCTCAACCTCAAATCTGGATAAAAGGCCAAGTAAAACAGCTTTTCACCCCGCCCACTTCTTTTTTTCCCAACCCCCTTTTTTTTTGGCAATACGTTTTACCATTATTTTGTAAATTTATATACATTGTCTTTTTATAGTTTCCAACAAAAGAGTCGCGCGCTATGTAGAAAGGGTCATGGCTGATTTGCACCCAATTTTGTATCGGCAAAGAGTCAAGAAATCAGAAGCTATCTTGGAAAATCCGCCATCTTGGGGAATCTTGGGGAGGGGGGGGGGGAATTCCAGGTTGCATGCCGTTGATTGGGACGGTGCTAGACTGATGCATTCCAAGCCTCACTTTAATTTTTCTTAAAATGTGGCTTAAAACATTAGGGTAGGTTTAATCACAATTTTTAAATTGGAGCAGACTGGTGCAAATTTGTAATTGACTTGATGTCATTGCTTTCATTTCTATTCGCACATTTTCCAAAAATGAAGATCATACCTTGCTTTCAATTTGATATGGTTGACTCGTGAATAAAGCCTGTAGAAACTAGATCAACTGCACATCTGTGCTTATATAAACAGTAGATCTGTATCTGTTAGCTTCTGTACAAATGCCTGGTGTGGCTATCGCGTACAGCCTCATGGTGTATGTATGAGGATAACTGCCAGAAGCACCGGGGCGAACCCCTTCTCTTAGCGATAAGTGTTTGCTAGGTTCTTTTATGTGCATTTATACAACACACGGGACCTACAGCTTTACGTCTCATCCGAAGGACGAAGCAATAATGGTCAAGTGCCTTGCTCAAGGGCACAAGTGTCTGGGCCTGGGCTCGAACCCACGCCACTGTTGCCTCTGAAACACTAGAGCATGAGTCCAGTGTTCTTAACTGCTAGGCCATCTCACCCTATGAACATAAACAGTAGTTTGTTCACACACCCCTGGCACCCTCATGTGCACATATAAGGCCAAATAAAAATTAAAAAATGTTTAACGTCCTGCCTTTTTGAAAAAAAAGCAAAGAGGAGGCCCTTTTATTTTTCCTTCCAAAATGGCCGCCCGACCGGGCTATTTTTCAAGATGGCTGCCAGCTGTTTTTTTATTAAATGGCCGCCACTTAGACTGAGGAATGACATACATGTTCGTTATACCAGCTTATATGGGCTAGATGCAACAGACAAAGAGGCCAGAATGATGTCACTTTTCAAATGTATCATTTTCTCGTGATTTAAAAAAAAGGGAAAAAAAAGGAGGGGCCTCCAAAAAGGAAGCGGGCGGGGACGCTAAAAATCTTTTTGGGTTTGGCTATATCAGTGTCCGGCATCTTCCAAATTTGATCACAATTAAATGATTTCAACAAATCTGCTATGATTGGACTAGGGCAGATTAAAATGCCATATATATCAATTTTGCAAATTAAATAACTTTTTTTTTACCTTTGATTTTGTTTCAGTTAAAATCAAAGACGAGGTGATAGTCCTGGAGGATGAACTTGAAGTAAGCCTTTAATATTTTTGAATGATTGAAAACAAATTAAAAGTCAGACTGAAAAGAATTATGGCCACATCTAAATGTGTAAACTTCTCCATCTTCCAAAAAAAACCCAGAACAAAGCTTTATTAAATGCTATCTTTTTGAAAGGGGGTAGGGTAGTTTCAGGTTTTTAGTAGTGTTACAAGCTTTTTATTGGTATATTGGTGGCATCTCTGTCGGTTTTAAACGGATGATAAAGACATGGCTGGCTGGTCTTAAACACTTTTGCAGTGTTACATGAAATTTGGACTCCTTTGAACTCCAGTGCCTTTTACCGTTTTATTAGTCGAATGTTCACAATCCTCACGTAGGCATGTGCAATACTACCAGTGAGTCAGTATTTCATAGTCCTAAATTCACAACGCACTCACCACAGCTGCATCTGCGAGTCAACGCGCAGTGCGTGCTCTCCATAAAAAGAGTTGTTTATGTCTTACTCGTGAGCTGGACACTCCAGGGGTGTTTCGAAAACATGAAGTAAACTTGTTGAACAAAATCGTTTGAAATTTTTACTTTTGGACTTTTGGACTTTTGGACTGAAAAGCTTTGTTTTTTTTTACCGAAAAGGTCAGGTAATTAGCAGCATCTGGGCTCCAACCAGTCTTAAACATAGTGTTTAACACCTCCCAAGCACCTGTTTTTCCCTTATTTATCTCAATGTTCCTTAATTCAATTTCCCACAATATTATCAGAACATGTCAGTTGATGAGTTACAGGCAGAATTACCCACCAGCCAGCCGCGCTACGTCGTCCTCAGCTATTGTTATAAACACAACGATGGACGAACCTCCTACCCACTCCTCTTCATCTTTTTGTCTCCATCAGGTACTGCATTCGCCTTTTTTTATGCCCCGCGGCGAAGCCGAAGGGGCATACTGTTCCGCTTGTCCTTCCGTGGGTGGGTGGGTGGGTGGGTGGGTGGGTGTGTGGGTGTGTGTGTGGGTGTGTGTGGGTGGGTGGGTGAGCTTGTCTTACATACGCAGTGTGGACTTCCGAACAAAAGACGTCCACATAATGTAGGTAGCACCGACGTTGTGTGGACTTGCCCACGTCCACACAGTGTTTCCCCATTTCTGGAAAACAGGTTTAGAGGCATTTTTGGGTTAGGTTTATCTGTAGCAGAATGAAGAGAAACACTAAAGGGAATCATAGAAAAAAAATTGGGTTGAAAGAGTTTTCACAGTTTGAGAAAAATGAGTTTTTTCACTGGTTTTTCTTAACTACACGAAAGCAATGGAAAGTCCACACTAGTCATGTGAAACAAGGGTGGGTGTGTGGGTGTGTGTGTCCGGACAAATCTTGTCAGCGCGATAACTTGAGAAATACTTAACATATGAACTTCAAATTTGGTTTGTGGATTGTTCTTGGTAATCCTAAGAAGCATTTCGCATTTGGGGCCAAAAGGCCAAAGGTCAAGTTCACAGTGGCTAAAACAATAGAAATCTTGTCAGCGCGATAACTTGAGAAATACTTTACATGTGAACTTCAAATTTGGTTTGTGGATTGTTTTTGGCAATCCTAAGAAGCCTTTTGCATTTGGGGCCAAAAGGCCAAAGGTCAAGTTCACAGTGGCTAAAACAATAGAAATCTTGTCAGCGCAATAACTTGAGAAATACTTTACATGTGAACTTCAAATTTGGTTTGTGGATTGTTCTTGGCAATCCTAAGAAGCCTATTGCATTTGGGTCAAAAGGTCAAGTGTCAAGTTCACAGTGGCTAAAACAATAGAAATCTTGTCAGCGCGATAACTTGAGAAATACTTAACATATGAACTTCAAATTTGGTTTGTGGATTGTTCTTGGTAATCCTAAGAAGCCTATTGAATTTGGGGCCAAAAGGTCAAGGGTCAAGTTCACAGTGGCTAAAACAATAGAAATCTTTTTTTTATTCTGAGATTATAGGGATTAGGGATTAATTCATATAAAACCTACAGAAGACACTAATGCTGTCAATGAATGTTCCATGTGACCAAGGTACATGTAAGTTGATGTTAAAAGAGTGGTGTTATGTCATGGGAACAGCCACGGTTGCGGGGCATTTGTGTTTGTAAACACACCTGACTTGTTTTCTTTTCTTTTTTGTAATCCAGCACCAATTGTTTTCGTTGTGAATGACGGATCCCTGTAATTCCTGAAAACCAAATCCTCATCAAAAGTTATATTATGTTACAAATCCTCATAAACCACAGAGAGAAAGTAGATCAGGTTTACATGAAAGCAACGTCAGAGTATATGGATTCTACCGAGTGCCCAATGACCAAAGATATTGAATAACTGGAAGATTGCCATCAAGGGTTGGAGAATTCAATAGGCAGAGTGCCCTTATGGTGTGCAGGAGGTCACAGGTGGAAATTTCTTTGTCTATTTTTTTTTTATTGATATTTCAACAACATTAACACCGTGAATTTATTTTTTCTCTCTTTCCAGGATGTAAACCAGAGCAGCAGATGATGTACGCTGGATGCAAACTAAATTTTGTCAAGGCGTCTGGCCTTACAAAGGTACATCATTGTGTGGGACCATATTCATCATAAACACCGCCAAAAAAAGAAAAAAAAAAAAAGAAAGTCCACACTCATTGTTGGGGTCACAATTTTGAATCTGATTGTCTTATGATAACGTCATTTATATCTATAGACCTACGGGGAATGATGTTAGCTACATGTTGATACCCTGTTTGCTACCAACGACTGTAAATTGTCCAACACTGACAACGGTTTATGAAAAATGATGCGATTTGAAGAGTCGCAAATTTAATGAGTATGCGAGTTGCATGGAAATTGCTGCCTGACAATGTGACACTGCCCAAAACGAACGGCAAGGAATATCAATCGCACCGTGGTTGTATGCATGGGGCACGTGAAATTAGATAACCAGCGCTTTGTTCGAGCACTGTGCAGTCGATAGGGGCCATTGAATTGCGGGCTCTAGACGTACAGACACAAATACACCGTGTATGCACACTGTACATGTGGATCTAGGTTCCCGCAATTCAGGATTTCATGTTGTTCATGCACCTTTTTCAATAATTTGAATAATAATAGATGGTTTCATTACTTGATAAAAACAAATATTACATGTACATTGGTTGTTAAAGAGGTTGTGGAATGCTCGAAGACATTTCCGTCATTTTTCGGGTATATGTAGCCTAAGGTGTGATGAAATAAAAACGACTATTGTTTCTGTCATAAAATGAGTACAAAAGGTACTTTTGAGAGCTGTTTTTCAAGTCCTGTCATGCCTGTTTCGACCCGAACGTGCAATTTGTGTAAAAGTCGTCGTTGCGGGCAGCAAACAAAACACAGTAATTCGTGACGTAATAAACAGGACTCCCGATGCAGAGTAGCATAAACGAGTCCTGTTTATTACGTCACGATTTACTGTGTTTTGTTTGCTGCCCGCAACGACGACTTTAAACAAATTGCACGTTCGGGTCGAAACAAGACCTGAAAAATAGCTCTCAAAAGTACCCTTTGTACTCATTTCATGACAGAAACAATAGTCCTTTTTATTTCATCACACCATAGGCTACATATACATGTACCCCCAAAATGACGGAAATGTCTTCGAGCATTCCACAACCTCTTTAACGCTGCAGCACCACCATCAACCGTACAGACTTGCTATTTCCACTATTCCATCCGTGGCGTTTTTTTGAGCTGAAATTGCATTTATTTGGTTGGAAGCACTTACATTATCAGGCTATCTAGCTGTGCCATTCGCACAGGACCCTTCATTCCCCCCCTTCAAAAAAAAGAGGAACTGGAGCCCAAAACGAAATTTTGAAAAATTTCTCTTACATGAAGAAATTTCTCAACGGTCCTGCACTGTACCGTACCCCAGCTCATTTACGTGCAAAATGATACAGGCCTTTTAGACACCTGTCTATTAGTAGAAGAGATGGGTGTCTCAAAGGCCCTGTAACAAGAAAAAGGACGTAAGCAGCCCAGGCAGGCAAAAAGCACCTTTGGAGATAATCAAGCTGAAAGGTTTTGTGCTGCCATTTCTAGATTCAAAATCACATAAGGTTGAAATGTTTACTGATGACATTCGTTAATATTTAAATAATATGGTGCATTTTTATGTCAAAATATTTCTTAATTTTGAAGTTATTTCAATTTTTATGCTAACGACCTTTTACTGGGAACTTCCCAAGCCTTAAACGTACGCTTAAGTGGCATGTTAAATCCTTGTGTCCTTTTGCCGGGAACAAATTTGGCTTTGCGTACCCACTTGAGTGGGACGTTAGGGCGCTTCGAACATTGTTTGTTAAATTAGAATAACATCCTTACGACCTTTTGTCGGGCACAACTAATGAAAAACCTTCTTCCGTCCTTTGTTTACAGTTAATTACGTCAGAATGACGTAGCCAATTGAGACAATATGTTTATCAAATGAAAGATATTTCCAAGCTCTATCAATGACCCGAAAAATCCGAAGTTGACATTTTGACCCATTTATCGCCCTCACACCCTTCTTCCAGGAACCCGACGAGTTGTTCACCGCACACACTATTTACGCCGCCATGTTTGTTGGCGTTATATGCCTCGCTTTGATTTTAAGATGGCGACCCTGCCAAAGGTCTATCATAAACAATACATGCACAATTTTTCTTAACAGGTTAATGAGATTCGGAATGTAGAAGAGTTGACGGAGGAGTACATTCAGGAAAAGCTTTCATTCTACCATTAGTGCAATCCTCATCATCAAGTCCATATCAGATTGTCATCACACAGAAGCAACCCCTGAATACTGAACTGGCTTATTAGAAGGTGAACAAGAGGTATACTACAAGTTATCCCGCGAGCGCGAGTGGAACACGGAATAATGTAGTGCGTCTGTTTCGTCGGAGTGGTATGTGAACACAGATGCACTACATTTTCCGTGTTCCATGAGCGGGAGCGTGATAATGAATTTATCTTCAAGCACACTTGACGCGCAGTACAGTTGGAACGAGCACGCTTTACAGGAACATTTCAGCAGTTTATTAGCGCATGCAGCTGGAATGTCGCTCGCATCTTGGAATAGCGCAATACGCAGGGTGCGATATGGACCGTGCAATACAGTATAATATCACACTGTTGTTTCCATGGATCAACCAATAAGAATCGAGGATACAAGTTTACTTGAAGATAACAATGCGTATCCCCGTGCAATAAAATTGCCACACCTCAAAGATGGCTGTAATGCAAAAGATCTATTGTTTTGCTTAGTAAAATTTCTTCAATATAATTAAGGCACAGATCTGCGTGCATGACTATACTTTGGTTTGTAAGGGGTTGGCTCAGGTGCCACGTAGTGGGGGAACTTTTCTCGCAGGGTAGAAATGGACGGAGTTGGGGGACTTTCGATTCCGTCTCCCCGCAGCAACTTTGGTCCCCACAATAACTATTGCTTACCGTGTGTGGTCCCCAAACTACGCAACAAAGATGCATGGGTTTGTTTATGGTGTAAATCGAGGACACACATCGAGGACCACCTCGATGAGAAAATGTGTACAAAATGAATGAGAGCTGTTGCTAAAAATTACAAAGGAAGGAATAGGGTAGAGGAACAAAAGAATATGCTCGACTTACACCATCAACAAACGTGGTAGGATTTGACTTCTTTCATTCTTTATTTTAGTACCATTACTTAATCAAAAGGGGTGCATACCTATGTTCCCCAATACCTATGATCCCCAGTACCGATGTTCCCCATCCCTAACCCTAAGAATTTTGGGGAACATCGGTATTTGGGAACATCGGGTAGACCCCAATCAAAAGTGGACTTGTGTAGTAGACTATTAGGGACTAGCCTACCAAGGTTGATTGCATCAGTGGTTACCAATATCCGTACACACCACAGTGCACATGTATAGCAGTCGGGAAGGACCAAGAACTTTTGTGATCCTTCAACCCTAACCACCCCAACTCCATCAAAATCCATCACCCCATTTTGGTGGATTTGGGTGGACTTGGTCCAGAAGGCCTGGCGTGACTAAATATTGATGGAGTATGATGGACTTGGGCCTAATTCTGACCTGAAGCATTGTTAGGGGGGAATCCGATTGATTTTGCCTAGCTTCCAGTACTGCTATTGTGATAAAAGCCATGTTTAGCAAGTCCATGAATGTCAACCAGTGCGTCAGTGGTGGATTCCATTATGCATGTTATGTCATGTACAGTTTTGTTTTGGACACACAGTGATTGATGGATTTTGATGGACTTGGTCCATTTCCTAGTAAAAGACGCTGGGGAGTTATAGGGTTAACATTACGACACAAGCACGACATACGTCATCCATCTACCAGTAGGCAACCAATTCAGTCCAACTTGCTCTCGGGTCATCAAGGCATGAAAGGGGGTGGGGGTTAATGGTTTTCATTGAGTCCCTTAAAGGGAATGTACATCATTGGCTTTTGCTGTAATTTTCAGAAATGAACTATTTGGGGGGTTAGTATAATAGATCAAATATTGTTACACTGACATGTTTGAAGTTTTGTGTTAGAAAATGCTGGAAAAACCAAGAAAAACAAAAATATTCAAGTAGTCTGGTTCCCTGACTCCACTAAAGATGAAATGGATCAAACATACCAGAAAATTGTAAGGTAAGGGAACCAGTCTAGCTGGCCTGCACCCGTTCATGAGCATGGAACCAATAGCTAGCAAAACAAAATTTAGACTTAAAAAAAATGGTAAATTTGGTGCAGTAATTGAAAAATAGTTAGGTTTTTCCAACGGTGGTCGGCCGACCAGCGTTGGAAATGTAGACAAATATATACCATTTTCTTGAAAATGGCTTCACACCAGGTGCCATAATTTTACAGGATGCTTAAGCATGTCATTTACCAACATCCTAGTAAGGTATTTCGTAACAACTAACTTGGTAGTTATATTTTTCGATGTTTGCAAATGTTGTATTTTCCCTTTAAAAGGCTTTGAATCAGTTTGAACTAGTTATGACCATACCGTCCCTAAAGCTTGACATAAAATGGACGCTACATGCAAAGATACATGCAAATCATACATGTATCTGTTCATTTATGAAAGTGCAAAGATACCTGGGCGACTTCAAGCGATTTTATGTCCAAATGAGGTTCATAATTTGTATTATCAGGTTAATGGTTTATTAATTGTTTGAATGTATCCATTTCATAATATCGTAAAGTTTTTAAAGATGTATTATGTATACGTATTATAAGATTATTTACTCTTAAAAGATTATATGGTGTGCTGTGGCCTCGTGGTTAAGGGCACTGGATTCGTGGTCTGTGGGTAAAGCTGCGGGTTGTGGGTTCGAGTCCTGGCGGGGTCATGGTGCGTGTGCCCTTGAGCAAGGCACTTTGTCACTCATTGCTTCTCTCCACCCAGAAGTAAATGGGTACCTGTGAGGGCAGAGATGGTTGTTGTGATTGAATTAGCTTCCTTGCGCCTAACAGGCTGCATCGAGCTGTATACTCCCCAGGGAGCTGAGATGGTATTTGGAATGTTTAATTGGCCCAATGATCAGGGGTAATAATAATACTGTAAGCGCTTTGATTTAGTTTACTAACATGACTAATAAGAGTGTTCTTAAATGCCGATTATTATTATTATTATTATTATTATTATAAGATTAGGCTATCTGTACTCTATTTGGTTACAGAAAAGTAACCCTGGAAACCAATATGGAAGTTTACATTACAGTGGAACGTCGCTATACTGAACACCGCTATACCGAACATTCAGCTACACCGAACATCGTCCTTGGCTTCCAAATTTTGTGTACAAACCTTGTTAAAAATATTAACGGCAGAGCGACAAGTGGCTATTATTTCCCCCAAGAAATAGAAGGCAAAAGCCACCCATTGCTGTAGGTAGTAAGCTAATTTTTTTTTTACATAATTCATTCAATAGTCGGCTTTTGTTCAAACTACGGTATACCAGGGCTGGTGTGCAGGGTGAAGTTCATGGCACTATTCATTGAAAAGTGAGTACCGGAGCACCGGTAGCTTAAAATCGCTACACCGATCGCCATTATGAACAATTTCTGTGGATCCTGCGATGTTTGTTATAGTGGCGTTGCACTGTACTTTACGTATTCCTAACATGGCAATAAACCATTCTTAGATTGGAGATGTGCTTTCAGGAGACACCTGTTGAAGAGCACAGATTGTACATCTGTAATTGTAACAAAAGACTGAAGAACAGTGCAGTGATTAGACTTTTGTGTGCAAGCATTTGCTTAATGCCGATCAAAATTTGACGTCACGAAACTTTGTCTACGATCCAGAATCATGACACTGCTTACCATACATGTATGAAGCGAAGTATCCATGATTGTACAGGGTGTTTCAATAAAAAGGAAACCCAACTTTGAAGAACCAGTATGGACAGACTAAATGTTTACTGGCTATAAAACTGGTATCATCTGAAAGTGTAATCTCTATGCTTTTCAATGACACCTTGTTTACAATTCCAGGGTCCTGCATCACTGAGCACCATTGTCATGAGATGTTGATGCAAAATTGCAGTTGGTTCACTTTCATGTCAAACACAATAGGCATGGTTTGCATGAGAATTGGTATTCAAGAAGAATACACGAGTGCATAAAAAGAAACCAAAACACAAGTCGGGTTGGTTTCAAAACTGATTTTATTGTTACGGTCATGAATTTCTAGTTTTGACCAAGCCACGTTCAAAACAATGTACCATTTTCCCAAGGATTAGCATTCAAGCTATTTCACAGACATTTCCGTAACAATAGGCACACCGTGTCCAGTGTGTTTTTTTTTTTTATGAAAGTGAACCAACTGCATTTTTGCATCTTATTTTTAAGACAATGATGTTCAGTGATCCATGACTCAGAAAACCTAAACACGGTATCATTGAAAAGCATAGAGATTACGCTTTCAGATGATACCAGTTTTATAGTCAGTAAACATATCGTCTGTCCATACTCATTCTTTGAAGTTGGGTTTCCTTTTTTTTTTAAAACACCCTCTATAGCAGAAAATGTTATGCCAATGACAAGCTTGCTCTATTTCTTGGTTGCATGCATGCGTGCATTTGGGAAACCTCCTTGCATAATACCGCAGGGGAGTTTAACAGAGCACACTTGTAAGGTGTTTCGCACAAAACCAAATAGTATGCAGTGAAATCTCGATAAGTCAAACCTCAAGGGAACAGGTTCAAAATTTGACTTAAGAAGAGTTTTGAGTTAAGTAGGGTTGTATGTCATTGTTATACTACTGAAGGCAATGGATTTTTTGTTTGACTTAACAGTTGTTTTGAGTTTTTTATCAGAGTTTGACTTATAAATCGAGGTATAAAGATTTCACTGTATATGGAATAGACGCTTGCACATGTAGCAAACGTTAACTGCATCTTGGCCTCCAGATTCTGACCATTCAGAGCGCACCTTCCATCAGGTCTTCGGTAACCTGTTGTGTTACAAACACATGGCAGCATATTGACCAGTCAACAGCTTTGGCTGAATTTCTGACTAAGTGACGTCACAACTTCTAAGGGAGGCTCTGATTGGCTGGTGCGCGGGGTCACATGCAATTTACATGCACAGATATATCAGACATTCGTAGTGTGGTTCTGCACACGCGAACGTCAGATCCTTAGACAACAACCAAATGGCAGTAGCTGAAATCGCACATGTAGAAAATAGACTTGTAATGTTTCTCACAAATGTGCCTTCACATTTGGCAGCTTTTCTGTAATTTTTGTGAAAAGATGTTTTCTGGGGGAAAAATATCTTGCCTCTGAAGAATAGGGCTATTATTATACGACAATTTTATCCATTTGATCCTGTCGTTTGAAAGATGGCAAATTTTCCTGGCTTTTTGACAATTTGATATGGAGTCTTCTTAGAGTTGACTAAGTGAACTTTATTGTCACTTAAGGCCCCAAAACTGGAGTTCTTGTTTCTGGTACATTGATTAGGGCTGTCCCGGCCAAATATGCCGAATATTTGAATATTCAAGTATCAACCAAATATTAGAATAGCCTTTTGCTGCTTTGAATATTCAAAAACAAAAAATAACTATATACATCTCATCGATCAATGCACACAGCTGGCAGTTTTGAATATCCCAATATTCGGTCACACAAAGTTTGAAGTAATAAAATACTAACTTATTCAACATAGACAGCCCTAACGTTGATCTAGCTAGAAATCGGTGCAATGACGTCTTTTCTATAATAAACATATTCTGGAATGCACATATCAAAAGGGGCGATATCTCATTCTCTAGCGTACCAGATTTGTTAAATACAAAAAGTGTGGAGAATGGAACAAAACAAAGTACGATTCCAGTTGATCTATCAGTATTTGCCGTGGTTGAACAATCTGTTATCGTAGTTGGGGGGGGGGGGGGGAATAAAATGCAGTAAAAAATGAGATGCACTGACTAGAAAGTAGTGGGCCTAAGATAAAATTGTAAATTGTATTATTTGTTCTATTATGTGATGTGCTCTATTGAATACTTACATGTATAAGACTTCCCTATAGGAACAAATTTCAGAAGGATAACATGTACAACAGTGTACTCGTGTTTTTAAATGAGGTATGTGGATTTCATGAACATGACTGAAAAGAAATAAATTTTATAGAAGGAAACAACAGGAGCACACTTGTCATTATTTTTTTGTCTTGTTTGGATGTGAATATTGCATACTGGTACACAGAATAACTAAAACGAATCAGTGAATTCAGCTGTATGATTTATTTTGTCAATTCATAATTAGAATTCTTTAATAGCACATCTTTGTTTTTTGTTTTTTTTACACGTGTAGCTTTAAAACTGCAGTGCATATTCAAGTGTGTAAACATATTCACACAAGCAGTCGATTTGTAGGATTTTGCTTTGGGGGTGGGGGTGGGGGGGGGGGGGCAAGGAGACTCTCTGTGCTGGAAGGAAGCCGGGAATTTTGTTCAGGTCATCAGCTGGTCGTTCAACTTTTGATCCCAAATAACTCTGTTGTTTACCAATGGAATTAAACCAAAATTTCAGATCACGTAAACAAACTATGGCAAATTTTATGGAGTGAGTTTATCATCAGCTTTGTGCAAGAGAGTGAGATTTAAATGCCATAGGAAAAAAATAGTCACTTTCAGAATGTTG